ACACCTCTCAGGTGTTCTTTCTTCTCTTTACCCAGCTCGAATCCCGTGGCCCATCTTCTTAGCTCTTACTATCTACACTTTACTCCTGTGGCCCTCTCTCCCTCTTGCCGTATCTGTCTGGCAAAAAAAAAAAAGCTAAAAAGATTAAACCCAACTTTCTGCTTACTCTGTGCCTACACATGGCCAGCTAAAACTTTCTGGAGAATACTACACAATGAAGCTGCCAGTCTTGCTTAAGAACCTAGTGGTACTTAGAACGGCCCCTCGCCAGGCATGACTTCCTCATGGAACTTCTCTACCCTTGGAGCTTCTTCTACATCTTCTTTTCCTTTTTCATACCAGCAGTACCCTCTGTTTCCTTTTATGATCTTATTTGTTTCAGAACATAGAAGCAGTGCTTCCAGAACAACCTTCTTTCTCACTGCCAAATCAGCCAACCTCCTCATGTGTACACCTACTTCCTTTGCAGTCCTGTGTAGTGTATGAATTTTCCATGCTCCTAAGGCCAGTCTTTCTGCAGTAGGTCCATCTCCTCTGCCTTCTTAAAGACTTGGATCCTCGAGTTACCCCTTTCACCCCTTGTGTTATTATGTCTCCCTCTTCTGGATCAACCCCACCAGCATACAAAATTCTGTAATATTGCCCATCTTGAAAGACAACAATAGCAACCTATTGGACCCCATGTCCTTTGCCCTCCTTCATAAGAAAATGTCTTTTACAAGTTTCCTATACTCACTCTATGCTTTTCACCTCCCATTCTTTCCTTTACTCAATGACATCTTCTTAATCCAATGACATCGTCTTTCTACACTCAATGCTTAATCATTTGTCCTTGATTACTTGACTTAGCACTATTTGACAGTGTCTGCTTCCTCCTACTTGAAACACAAGTTTCTCCCCTCTTCCTTGGATGAGAGGGGAGAAAACCATCTCTTTTGTTGATGTCTCCCTTTTCTTCTCAATCTTTAAATGTTGGAGTGCTCCGGGTCTATTTTTCGGCCATCTTCTCTTCTGTTTATACTTTTCCTTTGGTGCCCTCATCTAGGCCTGGAAACAAATTTAACGACTTCCTAATTTCATCTTCATACTTGCCCTTTTCCCTGAAGTCCAGATTCCTATATCTAGTTGCCTAATTCACCTTTCCAGTTGGATATCCAATAGGAATTTCAAGCTTAACATGTTCATAACAGAATCGTTGCTTCTCCCTCGGCCTTACCCCGCTTCATCAATACAGTTAACAGCACCACTACTAATCCAGTTACTTAAACCAAAGTCTAGCAATCATCCCTATCCTTTCCTTCCCCTACCTTCTGGTTCAAACTATGAGCAAACCCTGATGGATCATCTTGTACCTGCCTCTGAATTGCTCTCCCTGTTCTATTTTTGCCCCCTTCCCCTTTTTCCTTCTTATACTGTTTAAATATTCAAGTGACAATATAATGAAACCTCCATATATCTACTGCTCAGCTTCCATAATCAACTCATTGGCTCCTTTATTTATTTATTTGAGACGGCGTCTCACTCTGTTGCCCAGGTTGGAGTGCAGTGGTGTGATCTTGGCTCACTGCAAACTCTGCCTCCTGAGTTCAAGCGATTCTCCTGCCTTAGCCTCCCGAGTAGCTGGGACTACTGGCGTGCACTACTGTACCCGGCTAATTTTTGTGTTTTTAGTAGAGACAGGGTTTCACTATGTTGGCCCGGCTGGTCTCAAACTCCTGACCTCAAGTAATCTGCCTACTTTGGCCTCCTAAAGTGCTGGGATTACAGGCATGAGCTACCGTGCCTGGCCACCTCCATTATTTAAAACTTACATCATGTTGTACTTTTCCATTAATTAAAACACTCTTAGTGTTTTAATTATGTAATCTTCCCATTACATGTAGAATTAAGTCACAATTCTTTTTCCCTGTGCTTCAAGGTTCTACATGATCTAGCTATTGCCCCTTCTCCAGCTCCTGTCCTCCTATTCCTCCCTCTCCTCGTTATGTTCCAGTCATAATCTTCTTCTCTTTGAGGTACAGAAGAGGAAACCAAAGTTCAGGAAGCATTGGTAACCTAGACAAGTTCACACAGGTACCCTGTATCCAGGTTCTCTGACTCTAGGCCCTGCTGTATAGGCCTCACTACTGCTTGTATTTCTAATTTAGAGGCTGTGTGATATAATAGAAATAGCATAGACTTTGAAGTTATACAAACCTGGTGGCAGAATTTGACTCTGTCATTTATTACTTGTCTGAGCCATAGTTCCTTATATCTAAAATACGGTGAAATAATACATTACTCCTAGTTTTTGTTTTTTGCTTTTTTTTGGTTTTTTGAGACGGAGTCTCACAGCGTCGCCCAGGCTGGAGTGTAGTGGCGCGATCTCCGCTCACTGCAACCTCCGCCTCCTGGGTTGAAGCAATTCTCCTGCCCCAGCCTCCCAAGTAGCTGGAGTTACAGGCACCCACCACCACGCCCTGCTATTTTTTTTTCTCTTTTTAGTAGAGACAGGGTTTCACTATGTTGGCCAGGCTGTTCTTGAACTCCTGACCTTGTGATCTGCCCACATCGGCCTCCCAGAGTGCTGGGATTACAGGCATGAGCCACCCACCTGGCCTACTCCTACTTTTATTGTGTGGGTTAAATGAGATAATACATGTAATGTACTTAATTTAATTAAAACTTAGAACCACTTCCCACCCTATCTCTCCCACAAACATCTACACTTATGTTTGTTGAGAAGACAGATTCGGGGGAGAGAGATAAAATATGTACATAATACTGTATCATAATATGTTGCCTAAAATATTCATTTTTTTTTTTTTATTGTTCCTACAGAGATTTGTGTGGAGAGAAGCAGACCATAGGTGCATTACTCACTAAATATTCTCGTTCTTCGATGCAAAATGGTGTTAAAGTATATAATTCGAGAAGACCCATTTCTTAAAAGAACAACAGTTTTTCCTTCGGGACTCAAGTTGCTTTATAAAGTTGCTGGATACAAGAAAAATAACTTGTACTTTTATATCTGACTTTTAAAAACCTAGTTTTCTAAGGCCTTTTCCTCCTCATGTTAAGCATTTTGAAACTACTGTTGTTATTTCTTAAGTGTTATAGGATGTAGCTTTCAAATTATATTTGTACTATGTACACAGTGTAAACAAGGACAAAAGAAAGTATTGTTTCCTATGTTATGTCTGAGGTCTCCGTGATTTAAAGTTTGGCTTTTTATTTTTAAAGTGTCATTTCTTTATTTAGGATTTGATGTTCTAATCATTAATACATTTTAAGTTTTCCAGAGAACTAAATAGTAATAGTTTCATAGAAGAGAATTCTTTATTCACTTAAATATCATTTCTCAAGTGAGTGAGTTACCCTCTACTTTTACCCTTCTACCCAAACTGGAAGCCACTAGGTGCTATCAATTATTTATATTCGTTGTTTACATCCATGAAATTGGCTGAATAATTACTCCTCTGCCTGGCGTAGACATGCACTTTGGGGAAAAAATGGGTTTATCATCCTATAATGAAGAATACTGGCACAGGCAGTGCTCACTCGAAAACTTCAAGTAATTTCTAGTTGGTTTTGGAATGCTTGTTAAAGTTCCTTTATAGCTTTATTTTCCTGATTTGTTTTGGTTTAGATCAAAGTGCAAATTAATTTTAACTTAGCTAATGAACTGGTCACCAGGACAGTTGGAGGGGGTACAGGCCAAGGTTAAATGGTCCAAGTTTCAAAAATGTTAATGGATAATCCATAATTAATTAAACAAGGTTTAACTGTTACTGAAGTTTACAAGTTTTTATTGTCACGAACATGAAATACAAACACAATGGCTTTGAAATGTCTTTTAATAAATGTTTCTGCATTTATATGGATTATATGATATATATACATACACAGTATATCGATGTGTAGTCTATTTATTTATTTATTTTGAGATGGAGTCTCGCTTTGTCGCCCAGGCTGGAGTGCAGTGGCATGATCTCAGCTCACTGCAAACTCAGCTTCCCGAGTTCAGGTGATTCTGATGCCTCACCCTCCTGAGTGGCTGGGAATACAGGCGCACGCCACGACGCAGGGCTAATTTGTGTATTTTTAGTAGAGACAGGTTTTCACCATGTTGGCCAGGCTGGTCTTGAACTCCTGACCCCAAGTAATACGCCTGCCTCGGCTTCCCAAAGTGCTGGGATTACAGGCGTAAGCCACCACGCCTGGCCTCTGGTCTATATTTTATTCTTTTTCTTTTTTTTTTCCTGAGACAGTCTCGGCTCTGTCGCCCAGGCTGGAGTGCAGTGGAACGATCTCAGCTCACTGCAACTTACGTCTCCCGGGTTCAAGCAATTCTCATGCCTCAGCCTCCCAAGTAGCTGGGATTACAGGCGTGCACCACGCCCAGCTAATTTTGTATAATTTTTAGTAAAGACGGGGTTTCACCATGTTGGTCAGGCTGGTCTCGAACTCCTGACCTCAAATTATTGGCCCGCCTCGGCCCCCCAAAGTGTTGGGATTACAGGAGTGAGCCACTGCGCCTGGCCTTGTAATCTATATTTTAAAATAAATACTAAGGCAGCAAGCAGTGCCTAGTGAGAGCTCTGGAGTGCTGGAGTTTTGACATTTAGACTATCTGCAGTCTAATCACATATTTTAGAGCTTAAATCACCGGACCCAGTGTGTCTGTTGACACAGCAAGCCAGAGGCACGCACCTTCTGATTTAGGGAGACTTCCCACCACCCCACCCCGCCCGGTTACTAGCACCCTGCCCCAGCCTATTTATACCTGGCTCTTCGCAAACTTTGTCCTCCATTCTTCTTAATATGCTTGTACTAGAAAACTACCTTTCCTCCTTTTGTTGCTGCTGTTCTCGCCTCATCCACCAAATAGTTTCTTCGCTTTCCTAAATTTTAACAATTTTTTACGATAAGGCACAGGCGAAAATCGCAAGCCCTGCCCATTGACAAGACTTCCTAGTTCTACCCCCGCCGCCGTTCCACTTCCGCTGACGTCGGAGGTCAGAGGTTTCAGACAAGATGTCGGCCGATGGTCGCTTTGAGCATTTGCGGAGAGGAGCATCTCTGTGACAGAAGCTTGTTGACGGCGGCTTCTAGGAGCTAGTCGAAGGATCGAGGTTGAGACGGGCAGCACCCTTCAGTTCGCTCCCCTGGGGACTGGCCGGCTGCGAGACGTGACTTTTGGGGACCGCAGGGGAGCGGGGAGTGTGAGGTGCCAAAGACCAGTAATGCCCTGTATCCCACCGGGAAGCCGGGAAGCCAAGCTCCGCGGGACCACTTCATGCCGCTGACTGGTGTAGAGCCCGCCAGAATGAACAGGAAGAAAGGAGACAAGGGCTTTGAAAGCCCAAGGCCATATAAATTATAAGTATTTTTTCATTTCCCTTCCTTCCTTTTGGTTTTGTTGCCATTAATTACATTTTGTGATTGCTTGAAATTGACTTGGTGGGCCCGGGAAACTAGAATTTACTAGTTGGATGGAAATGGTGTTTGTAAGGTAAAAATGTTTTGAATGACAGTGTTATTCAGCAAATTTAATTCCCGTTGCAGGTTACTTAAGTTTTTTTCTAAGTACTAGATTGTATTTCTGTAAAATCTGTTTTCGTGACTGTAGCTAGATTTGTAAAAATCATCCCAATTGGTAGAGGTTTTTTTTTGTTTTTTTTTTTAATTTTTTATTTTTTTAGATGGAGTCTCTCTCTGTCGCCCAGGCTGGAGTGCAGCGACGCGATCTCGGCTCACTGCAGCCACCACCTCCCGGGCTCAAGCTTTTCTACTGGCTCAGCCTCCTGAGTAGCCGGGATTACAGGCATGTGCCACGATGCCCGGCTGACTTTTGTATTTTCAGTAGAGACTGGGTTTCACTCTGTTGGCCAGGCTGGGCTCGATCTCCTGACCTCGTGATCTGCTTGCCTCGGCTTCCCAAAGTGCTGGGATTACAGGCGTGTGAGCCACCGCACCAGGCCCCGATTTGTAGAGTTTTAAAATGAAATATTGACATGCAAGTTTGAATTACTTAGAACATAGTCCTAATTTATACTTGGATATAATTATACTTTAATAAGAAAAATTATTTCTTCCTTATTTTCTTTTTATATTTATTAATATACAACCCATCAGGTCGTCTGCATCAACAACATAAATTTCCAGAGAAAATCTGTTGTGGTAAGTTTATTCTCAACAATTATAAACAGTAACAAGTCCACTATAAAGAGTAACAATCCACCCCTCACAGTACTTAGAAAGTTTATAGTCTTCCAGATAATTGTTTCGAGAATAGGTAAGAATTAAAATTAGGGTCTGTATGATTACAAGTTCCATGGTCCTTCTACTAATACCTATGGCCTCCCAAATTCTCCCTTTCCTTTTTTTTGAATTTCCTAATTAAAATTTTATTACTCTTTATCTGGTATATAGTGTGAAAGCCTGTATAGCCAAGCATTTTATAATTGTGCATGAAACAAGTATAAGACCATAGCGACATTTCTTCTATGAAAAAGATTAAGATTAATACACTCACTGACTTGGCTTCTAAGAGGCTACTTTTGCATCTTGACTAGGTGATGTTGCTTTGTAATGAAGTTTTAGACAGAGAATTTGAGATCTAGAAACCCTCTACCTCCCCCCACCCCCCAACACAATTTAGATGTATGAATTGCTGATATAATCAATTTTAGGAAAAAGCTTGAACACTCAAGTTTTTTGTTTGTTTGTTTGTTTGAGACAGAGTCTCGCTCTGTCACCCAGGCTGGAGTGCAGTGCTGTGATCTTGGCTTACTGCAACCTCCACCTCCTGGGTTCAAGTAGTTCTCCTACCTCAACCTCCCAAGTAGCTTGAATTACAGGTGTGCACGACCACGCCCGACTTATTTTTTTATTTTTAGTGGAGTCAGAGTTTCTCCATGTTGGCCAGGCTGGTCTCGAACTCCTGACCTCAAGTGATTCACCTGCCTCTGCCTCCCAAAATGCTGGGATTACAGGCATGAACCACTGCACCTGGCTGAAAACTCAAGTATTTATTTAATTTACTTTATTAGGGCTACCTTTATTACATAGACTAAAATGTTAATGAGAGCTGGTTTTCCTTGAGTGATGGTATCAACTTCTCTGTCAGATTTGTTACCCATGTATGGACATGTTTACTTAGGATAAGCTGAATAGATAGAAAAATGTCACTTTTCATAAGAGTCATAGAATCTTAGATTTGTAATATTCCTAAAAGGTTTATTAAATCTAGTCTCCTCATTTATGGAATTTCTCATGCAGTCTTCTCTAAGTTATGTACCTTGTATCTTATAGTAGGATACTTGAGTTGTATTATGTTGTATGAATTGGGTAGGAAACACAAGGGAATTAGGGAGTCTCGTTCAGAGGTTACTGCAGTAATCTAGGGGAGAAATGGTGAAGTCCTAAATGAAGATAGCCTTTGTGAAAATGGAATTGAAATAGAGTTGACATGATTGAATTAGTGAACATATATTTAGCCATTAATATATGTAAGGTATCTTCTAAGGTTTATGTGTATTAACTCAATCTTCATAATTACCTTATGAGGTAGATAATATTTTAATCCTCATATTAGGATTAAGGCATAATTGAGGCAGCTAAAAGAATGGAGGTTAAGTAACTTTCTTAAGGGCATAAAGTTGGCAAATGATAAGAGTTCGATGCACTTTCTTTACATCTGTCATTCCCCCTTCCACCTGTGTTGTCCCACAGGAATCAATAGACAGAAGTTGCACATGACTTTTTCAGGACTGCTATAAAGGGGTTGTGGATGACTTAAGTTTCCCACTGGAAACTTTGGTTGGATGTTGTGTGGGTTAGGATCTTGGCAGGAAGTAAATGGCATATATATATATATATATATGTGCTAATTGAGGGAAATGAATGGACTATTTAGAACAGAGTTAACAGAAACCAACATGAGGTGGAGGAACCCTCTGAGCTATTAACAGTGAGGAACAGTTGCCACTTCCAGGCCTGAAACAACAAAGGGAAGGGGAAGTTACTAGAACCTACTGTAGCCATGGAAAGAGTTACCTTGTAGGAACTGTGTCTTTTAATAGAAGAATGAAGCTACTGCTTACCTGCAGCCTGGCAGAAAGGAATCTGGGGTAATTAATATAAACTTGCTTTCCTTCTGCTTTCCAGTTTCCTTTCTGTGGAAACTGTTGGACCAACCCATCTAGAAGGGTAGAGCCCAGTTAATGAAACTCCTAGGGTATTGAGTAGCGTAGAGAGCAGATCAGGAGGGGCAAAAGGAGAATAATCAGAAGACTCTATCTTTTTAACCCCAACACATCCACTATTGTCTTTGATTGAGATGAAAAGCTAATGCTCCTAACATGGGGAACTTACAAAGTTCTATGAGCCACTGAAAGAGTTGGCAATGGCTGACTACTTATTTTTTAAGTGAACTGTTACCTGAACACAGCCATCCCCATTTAGTTATATATTGACTATGGAGGTTTTGGAGCTACACTGGCAGAGGTGAGTAGCTGAGACAGACTGTGTGACCCACAAAGCCTAAAATATTTCTATCTGGCCCTTTAAGAGAGAGTTTGCTAACCCCTGAGCTATTCTGTTAGTGTGAGAGATGACAGTTCAGCCCTGTTCCCACCTAAAATATTAGTCACCTCTAACGTCTTTTATGCAAGATAGTGGAAAGAAAAGTGGTTGAAAGAAATAGTATAAAACTAAATTGTAACAGTCCCTGCTTCCCTTAGCTGGTAGCATGGCCGAAGCTGATATACACTGCTTTATTTCTCCACTCCTTTGGTGTTTCCTTTTCCTTCTGCTGACATTTCTATTGGGATGACCTAGACCCTTGTTTCTTTAGGACGTTCAGTGCTGTTCATGTCTTTATTTGGGTTGTTGCAGTTTCTGTTGCCTAGGACTGTTAGGGGGGATCTGAGAGGCATCTCAGGAAATCCCCTAGATTTCAGATGTGATTCTTGTCCGTATTGTATAGCAAAGCTTTAATTTTCTCTTTGGTAGTTGAAATGATTCATTCCAGCCAGAAGAGGACCCCTTTCGCTGCTTTTTGGTTCTTTGGGATGAGGAGCTCAAGGTGGTCAAGAGGTAACCTCAACTTCCAATGGAATGGAATCATGAGTATATGCCCTCCTGGATGCATTCTTCACTTGGGCACTAGGACCTCTCAACACACTGAACCCAGGGTCAGAGACAGGAGGCAAAAATTCCTTCCATGGCTGGGCACGGTGGCTCACACCTGTAATCCCAGCACTTTGGGAGACTGAGGTGGGTGGATCACCTGAGGTCAGGAGTTCGAGACCAGTCTGACCAACATGGTGAAACCCCATCTCTACTAAAATTACAAAAATTGGCCAGACGCAGTGGCTCATGCTTGTAATCCTAGCACTTTGGGAGGCCGACGCGGGCACATCACGAGGTCAGGAGTTTGAGACCAGCCTGGCCAACATAATGAAACCCTGTCTCCACTAAAAATAAAATTAGCTGAGCATGGTGGCAGGCACCTGTAATCCCAGCTACTTGGGAGGCTGAGGCAGGAGAATCACTTGAACACGGGAGGCAGAGGTTGCAGTGAGCCAAGATTGTGCCATTGCACTCCAGCCTGGGCAACAAGACAAAACTCTGTCCCAAAAAAAACCAAGAAAATTCCTTCCATGACCTTTTTGGTGTAATAGTGAGAGTAGTCACTCCAACTTTCAACCTTTGGTTCTCAGTTCTGTTTTGGCTAGGAGAGATAATCCTATATATTGTCCACTAATTTAAGGCAGCATCCCGTGGGAGGTTTCTCAGTTGTTGCTGTAACTGAGCCTTCAGCAATTGATCATGCCATCTACTTCTGTGTGATAGAGTACAAGATAAAATGCATAAGTTTAAACAAATGGTTACTCTGTGTATGGAAGGGAAGGGCAGCAGGTTTGAGAGGAAAGATTCATAGGTCAGATTAGAAAATGTTACATTTCATGCACTGTGGGGTTATTGAGATGAATAGTGGGTAGTTGGCTACATGTCTGTGCAGATAAAGGATGGTGAGAGAGATTTGGGAGCCTTTGATATACAATTGTTCATAAAGGGTGTGGAAAAGCTCACTTAGAGTATCTAGCAGGAAGTGAGCATCAGGGAGAAATATCTGAAGAATATGATATTTGAGAAAACTGACACTTGGCCTGTAGAAACCAGCGAAAACCTTTTTTTTGAGACAGGATCTCACTGTCGCCTAGGCTGGAGTACAGTGGTGCAGTCACAGCTCACTGCAGCCTCAACCTGCCTGGCCTCAGGTGCTTATCCTACCTCAGCCTCCTGACTAGCTGGGACCACAGGCACATACCACCAGCCTGGCTAATTTTTGTATTTTTTGTAGAGATGGAGTTTTGCCATTTTGCTTAGGCTGGTCTCAAACTCCTGGGCTCAAGCGATCCACCCTACTTCAGCTTTCCAAAGTGCTGGGATTACAGGTGTGAGCCACTGCACCTGGCTGAAAAACATATTTTAAGAAGGAGGAGGCTGGGCATGGTGGCTCATACCTGTAATCCCAGCACTTTGGGAGGCCGAGGCCAGTGGATCATGAGGTGAGGAGTTTGAAACCAGACTGGCCAACATGGTGAAACCCCACCTCTACTAAGAATACAAAAAAATTAGCTGTGTGTGGTGGCAGACGCCTGTAATCCCAGCTACTCGGGAGGCTGAGGCAGGAGAGTCGCTTGAACCCAGGAGGTAGAGGTTCCAGTGAGCCGAAATTGCACCACTGCACTCCAGCCTGGGCAACAGGAGTGAAGCTCCATCTCAAAAAAAAAAAAAAAAAAAAAGAAATGGTTATTAATTTTAAATGTAAACAGTAAATATAAACTTGAAAACTGAAAGTAATTCTTGGTCATTAGTGACCACAGCAAGGGTAATGTATTAGTCCATGTTCATGCTGCTAATAAAGACATACCTGAAACTGGGCAATTTACAAAGGAAAGCAGTTTAGTGGAGAACTCATAGTTCCATGTGGCTGGGGACGCCTCACAATCATGGCAGAACGCAAGGAGTAGCAAGCCACCTCTTACATGGATGGCAGCAGGCAAAAAGAGAGCTTGTGCAGAAAAACTCCCGGTTTTTGTTGTTGTTGTTGTTGCTTTTTGTTTGTTTTTAAATTATACTGTAAGTTCTGGGTTACATGTGCAGATCGT